ATATATATATATATATATATATATATATATATATATATATATATATATATATATATATATATATATATATATATATATATATATCTTGTGACGTATATGTGTCCAACCAACTTTAGTGACGTTGGTTTTTGTCCGACTAAATTCAAGTTATGTCCGACCAAAATTGAAAGTGATCGGACAAATATCCTGTCAAGTCAAATATTTATTTGCAGCCCTGAAATTAGTAGCTATTTACAAGAATAAGTATGTTACAAGATATATATCTGCATGTGTAAACGGCAACGTGAATCCGGTACAAAAACGTTCCGGTTTTGTGGTGAATCCGAAAACTTTCGCTCTAGTGTAAACGGGTTCTAAGTAGTATATATACCGCACCAGCGACCATATTGTGTATAGCTTGTGATTCGTTTTGGTGAAAACATTCGTATTCTTTAATAATCATAAATTAGGATTTACCATCAGATAAACAAAGCTCCTGCCTCCTTCCCAGCCATGATTTCCTTAATGTTTTTCTCGTGAATTATTGACCCATTAAGTTGCATTTTCTGACAATACAGATTGGTTTCGGTAAAGGAATGCCGACAAGCACCGTGTGGGTTGGGGGTCTGGCAACTAATATCACGGAAGATATGCTGGACCGTCACTTCACGCGCTATGGTCGTATCAAAGGACTGGGACTAGACCGGAAACGAGGTTACTCTATGGTATCATTTGAACATATTTCTGGCTCAACGTCCTGCCATAACGACCTGAAAGAGAGAACTTTGTTTGGCAAGCGAGTCCGGGTAGGTACTGCTGATGTACTGAGGAGGGTGAATTGAACATCTTGTTGGTAATGCACCATTCCCCAATTAACCAAAATTTTGATCTCAACAAGTTTAGACAAAATTCCATCATAGCATGAAAGAGCATCACAAAATTAGTAATATTCCAAAGTTTCGTTGCGAAATGTTGTAAAATGCGGATAATATAGCCTTGCGAAATTTGCAATTTTCAGTCATTTTAGATTATAAATGGGAAATGGTTACCACTTTTCCAAAATTTTGATCTTAACTAGCCTAAACAAAAATTTCATCACAGCTTGAAAGAGCATCACAAAATTAGTAATATTCCAAAGTTTCGTTGCAAAATGTTGTAAAATGCGGATAATATAGCCTTGCGAAATTTGCAATTTTCAGTCATTTTAGATTATAAATGGGAAACGGTTACCACTTTTCCAAAATTTTGATCTTAACTAGCCTAAACAAAAATTTCATCACAGCTCGAAAGAGCATCACAAAATTAGTAATATTCCAAAGTTTCTATTACGCACAGAAGTGGTAACCATTTCCCGTTTGTAATCTAAAATGACTGGAAATTGCAAATTTCGCAAGGCTATATTATTCGCATTTTACAACATTTTGCAACGAAACTTTGGAATATTACTAATTTTGTGATGCTCTTTCAAGCTGTGCTGAAATTTTTGACCAGACTTGTTGAGTTCAAAATCTTGGTTAATTGGGGAATGGTCCATTAAAAGAGGCTTACATTTATCTGCCTTTGGTGTCATAACGTAATTGACTTCTAACCGTGGGTTGACAGAATCCAAGCACAATTTGAATTCACAATTGAAAACATCAATGACATTTAAGACTTCAAGCATGCATAAGTTTATAGCTACACTTGACTTTATATACTTATACCAATATTGATGCAGCTTTTATTCAAGCACTTTTTGGGCTTGCAGCTTTAGATATCATTATGCTCTTTAGATTTCCTTATTTAATATCTTTAGTATATAATATTTTATTTAGCTTATGTAATATTTGTTGCTTCAAACGTATACATTTCACAATCTACACTGCGAAAAATCCCTGAAAATTTTGACTACAATTTCAAACAATGCACCATGCAAATTTTATTGTATATTGATAATACCATTCCCTGTCCTTATATTATACAGGCAATCTATAAATATATCGCTCAATATCGCCTAGTTTATTGCCTCAAATTATCGCCTAATACCGTGATTCATCGCGGTGACATTGGCGTAGGTCAGGCCTTACATACAAACAAGTGAATCCTGAGACTCTGGGAGCAAATAATACCGGAAGAAAAATCTTCCCATGTATAATGTTGAACAAAAGGCTTAATATTGCGGAAGTACTTGATATTTTCAACTACATTCGAAAGAGCTTAACTTTAAGTCCCAATGGAGGATTTAACTTAAATCTCCTTCATCTCTGTTTAGCCTTGGGTGTATTTAATTTCCCAGTATACAGATTCTGTAATTGACTTAAATCATGCCACCATGCCAAACGTATATGCCTGACTATATATTGATGTATGAAAATGCAATTAAGAACTGCACAGCACTTATGGACGGTACAATTTATAGAAATAATATACAAAGCTATATATATATATAAGACGCTTGGGGCAAAAATATCAAACATTTCTGAGAATCCTGCTTGAAATAAAACGACATGTTCATCATGTCATTTATACGTTTTGTTAGTGAAATGACCTAATTTGGTTATAACTTCAACGAACCTCTTTTGCCACTATATGCTAAAATTTTACTTGACCATCTTTTTTGAAAAATGAAAAGGCTAAAAATATCAATACTAACATAGTTAGAGTAACAAAACATTTTATATTCACGCATACTCGCATTTTACTTTTAACGATTTCTATACAAAGCCAGCTTTGACAATAATATCAAATAAAATGTAGACCTATATCTTTATGACTAGCTTATCCCATTTTTTTTTCGCTTTTACTTATAGCTTTGCGCTAGGTGGGATCTCTGTCAAGTGGGATAACATATTCCATATGAAGTTATCGCACCTATGACCGGGATGGAAGATACAATTTTGTTGATATTTCTTAACTTTGGGAATTAACGTCAAACACCTTAGAAACATAAGAATATGTCGTGAGGCCTTCGCATTGACATGTCACCAAACAGAGACTTTACAGGACAAGCTCTTCAGTTGATGAAATATTGATATTTGAAACAAATATGCCGTATACATGCGGGTTTTTTTTTACCACAACTAAAGCGATAACAAGCTTATCCATGCAGCTACAACTTAATATAGGCATTTTATGCAAATTTTTAGCATTGTCAAAAATGCTTGTTCGATTTAAAACATTGATATGATCTCATTTTATGCTGCATAAAAATCCTGTTGAAAAATATCAAAATTTAAGGTAGCCCTTTCTGGATACGATAAAATTTATTTGATGATAGCTGTTCTAGTTTTTCTGCTGTATTAAATCAGTGTATAGTTTTGTTGTTTGTTTTTTTTTTGTTTTGTGAGGCGCCGGTATATGAGGCTACAAAGAGAAAGTAGTCCAAGGTTTTAATGACCTTTCTTTCTTACAAAATAGAATCCGGTAATCTCGAATCAACCAAAGTGGCCCAAAAAGACAACACGTCGACAAATGAAAAATGTGGCTCGCCTCATAAGAAACGTCGAGTGCTGTTCACACAGGGGCAAGTGTACGAACTCGAGAAAGCATTTCGACGCCAGAGGTATCTCTCCGCGCCGGAACGCGAAGAACTGGCACGAGGTCTAGACATGACTCCGACACAGATTAAAATATGGTTTCAGAATCACAGATACAAGTACAAAAAACAGCAGCGAAATTTGGAAAGTTACAATCTGATGGCACAGCAAAGGGCTTTCGTGTCGCCTATGAACCGGGAAGCATACTTGAATTACATGTGGTCCTTGCCTCACGCGGCGCATGCGCACAATTACGGATACGGATATTACACTGGCGCACAGCATCATGGATACCCAAGTTACAACGTGTTATGATGTGAATTCGCGTGCGTGTTGTGATATTGCGTGCCAACGCTAGGTCGTGCGAACGCTCTATATGCACTGAATGACAAAAGAGAAATTTATGGGAGTAAAATTTCAAATTATTTAGATCGATATTTATTTTTAGTCCTTTCCCATAGTGTAAAAAATTGTAAATAGAATTTGTAAATTAATTTAAAAAGGGATAGAATTATAAATTGTTATTTGGAAAAAACATACGAAAAGCTAAAGTTGAAACTGTATGATTATTGAATATTATGCCTTTTCAAAAGTTGCATTACAAGCAAGGCCGGATTTGGTGGAAATAGTGGGGGAGGTGTCTAGCTCATGACCTCCATGGAAAGCTAGGGGTTAGAACGGGCCAAAGTCAACGACGTGATGTATGCATGTAGTTGCATGTAGTAAACATATGTATTAATGAATTATGACTGTACAACTCATCCGATATTGCCCTTCATTACAATTATTACAAAGTTTCTTTCAAAACATTGCATTAAAAGGGTACTTGACACAGAGATGAAAGGCTATCACTGTTTCAATTTTACAGAAAAACTTTCTTACGAAGTGTAGACCCTAAGCAACCAAAAAATGTAAAATTTTCACTTTGTTCTTTCATTGAAACTTTTCTAAGGGGAAGTGCAAAAATTTTCAGGGGAGGTGCAAAACGACCTCAGGGGAGGTGCGCACCTCCGCACACCTCCCCTCAAAATCCGGCCATGATTACAAGTACTACATTTAAATTCGCCTCGTTTTTGCTCGAGTATCCGTTGACGTTGACTCGCCGGTGTTCTCATTGGTATATAACGTTCTTATTGGACAAAACCGAGTCCGAATAGAAAATCTTCCATCTTGAAACAAAAGGTTGTATATGAGACGAAGGGTAGAAAAAAAATTAAAATAACGTTCGTTGCAAATTGCAAATTGATCTTCAGACTCATGACCGCAGAATAGTTAGGGAGGCAGTGATGAAGGGCCTTCGCTCGAAACATGAAGGTTATACTTGTGTTTTTCAGGTATAGTTGAATCGCTCAGCTCAATCGGCAGGTCTCTGGTGTTATTGGGTCACTACCTATATGCTGGCACAAACCGTTTGAGTTTATATTATCAGCGATGCTACACCTCCATAGTCTAAGGGGCTTGCTTCAAATTCAATAGTCAAAATATGCGCTTAAAAAACTTTGCATTAAGAATTCTACAGTTATATACAGATTAACTCCCAAACCATCATCTAAACTTGAAGTGAATGGGTATTAACTCCAAAAAAAGTCGAAAATACAGTAAGGCTAAAATAGTCATTGAGCCAAACAACCTCGTACCCAGGATCTTTGATTTTTCTTTGGGAAAGAAAGATCCTGGATACGAGGTTGTGAGCCAAATTCAAAAAGCTATGATAGGATATACGATCTGTCTGAGTTGTACACGAGTTAGAATTTGATTTCACATTTCAGGATCTCGCCCCTACGATAGTTTTGGGTAGCTTGCTCGTCCATAGACCCCCATACCTATATCTCAATTTAATTAACCTCCAAAAAAAATAATATCTACAGGCATATTCAGACTCGAGATGATTTGCAGTAAACTGATAATCTGAAGATGAATTTGTAAGTAAATCGATTGAGTCTTCAGTTCCAATATGGAGTCAGTTCCATTATAGTGTTCTTTTATGGTTCGTACAGTATTTATGAAATGGGATGAGAATTGCAGCAGCCAAATTTGTTGCTGGGATTCTGGAAATGTTGTGGCAATCAGTCGATCGGGGAATTAGACAAAAATTTTGCCTGGGAATTGAAAATGAGATTGAAAGCCCCCCCCTTTATAAAACAGTTCACTACTTGTAATATTTCATGATTTTTCGAAAATATTATAGTTGTCAGCTATAAGACAGCTAAAACAGACATTTTACGTTGACATTTCCTCCCATTAAGAACTCATCGTTTACGCCAAACAGGAAATTAGAAACTATATGTCTTAAAAAATACACTTAGCATAAAAAAATGTTCAAGGTTTTTCCTGACATAGACCCTGTGAACTTGACATTTTTATTAAGTTGTCAGACAAGCAGGTCAACTGCACGAGTTTAATATTAATTGCTGAAACGTGACTATGTGAACTCAGTAGTCCAAAGTGAAGCCCAGCTCTTTCTCGAAGTAAAACGATAATCTTTAGTGTATAAACAGCTTTCAAATTAAGACTTGGGAGGTCCTTATATGTTTATTTTGGTCAAAACCTTTTGTTAAATTATCCTAAGTCATTTTACACAAACGGACATGGGAACTATAAGTTTAATTCGAACGGGAAATATGCTAAATTAAGTATGTTTGGGTAACAAAGTAATCTGATTAACATAGACATGAAAAGCATTCAAATTTGGCTATAATTATCATTTTAAAACTGCCTTTTTTGCTTCTTCCTTGACCAAATTTAGTCATAATTTTTGTTACGACATTCCCAATGAGCAGTTATGCACGCCAGCTTAGTTCCAGGCCTTTTCGCGTCAAAGGTTCTGGAATGTATATTCGTCTAATCCAAAGAATCTGAAAATTTGCTCTTGAACTGTAAACTGTGGAATTATACACGTTGAAATATGGATCTCAATCGTAATCTTGCGACCAGTATTATAAGTTTACTTGTGTACTAGCGAGTTCCACGAAGTATTATCCATCTATAAATGCCAGTTCTCCCAACGGGGGAATACACGGAAAATTGACAACAAGTTTATACCCTTGTAGAGGATTTTTGTATTTTTTTTACAGAACGGATTATCCCGAGGGTGGGAATATTTGATATTTTTATCTAGACAAATGCAAACTCTGAACACTTGAGGTACATTACTACACTGAATTATAGAATACCAATATGCTGTGGTAGAAATTGTTATTCCAAAAATATTTTAAAAGGATAAAATGCTAGTGTGACCCAGGGGCATTCAACACGAATTGACAGTTGCATACAGCCCTTGAGTGAGGCATTATTGACTCAAAATGTTCAAAAGTGTCACAATGATAGCACCTGGGTATATTCACACACTCCTTCTGTTGGGGAAGAAAACATTGATAGGCCCATTATTGTGACGAAGCTTGAGAAAGAGGGTCTCTTTTAACGACATATAACTGAGGGGGAGCTTTTCGATGTTGCTTTTCCTCTAAAATAAACTATGTTGTCTTCCTACCCAGTGAATGTCCCTTTTATCTAAACCTTTCTCGACGAAATATCTCAAAAAGTTGTGTATGAAAATGCAAGAAATTAATCCCCAGAGGCTCAAAAATACGAACGTTTTCCAGTTCATCGTCTCCACAGAACTCATAAGGAGCAATTTTAAGTGTTAAGATATTCGTGAAACCGTTAAACTCGATGTCGTGACAAGTGAATTCTTTGTTTGCAATAACGTAATATTGGGATTTCAGTTGACGGGCAGGTATAACAAAAAATGGCTATTTTAATGTATTGATCGAGTTTAGAGACAGTTTAAGACTCAAAAGATGAATTACCGTTCCGTTTTGCTTGCTACTACCATTCTGATAGGAGAAAAATCGTCCACAAGTTGTTTGATTGCCCGTCATTTGGATGAAATGTCACGTGATTGCAAACAAAGAATTCGCTATCGTGTAATTGGTGTCTTGTAAGAGGCTTTCATGAGAAAATAAAAATAATATCGCATAAGTCCTATATTTGGTAGCCACAAATACCACAGAGAGATGTAGATGAAATTTGCCGCTAATGTGTCAACATTGATCCAAAGATGGCCACCGTCTCTGCGTCATCTATATCTTATTGAAACCAATTCACATACATTATCGAGGTATCATATAATAACGTGCAGGGAATATATACTATGGGAATATACCTGTGATAACCATTTTTAGTTATTTTCTAGTCCAATATATGATATTTCATTTTGAAGTGGAATAGAAATAGGACACTTTGCATGTGAACATGAAGGGTAAAGTGCGTACTTATCATACTTCAAGCAAAGAACTTTTATGCTAAGTATAGTCAAAGTATTTTTAGTACTGGAAATTTAAGAACTTCCTATAAGTTCTCTTTGTATTTTAACTTTGCGTTGGCTGACGTGGTTTTATATATCTTAGGCCTTTACTCGGCTGGTAATTATCGCACTGGTCATTTCCCTCGTAGAGGCCTAGTACATTTCACAAGTTCTCAAATTAGCCACATAACTTTGTGATCCGAAATTGATCAGAAACCAACAACTAAAGCAATTTATACTGTCCAGTAGTTATTACATTAACTATAAAAACATTTTATGACTAAACTAAGTTCTATTTTGTAGTAATATTTTGACTCATTTTGACCTTTCGCAACATAATAATAGTGTTGCTTCAAACTTTATGATAAAAACCCCGATTTTCTAGGCGTGTATACTGTATACAAATAAAAATAGTAAGTTTATACTATAAATGAGTTTATTTTACCTGTATCGGTTTAAATTCGCTGTTAAGTTGCAAATAATTCTGTTTGAGAACGCAATAATTGGGCATTTCGCAACCAGGGCAGTTTCAGGGCAGTTTTGGCCTTGTTGTTGGGAAATCCACTAGGCCTTTTATTTTTTCGCTTGCGTCATCCTCCGCCCCGCCCCCAAATCACCTAGTCCCAGTCTTTTCATGTGAAAAAGCGCTGAATATTAAAAAATAATAAAAATAAAAGGCCTAGGTCTAGGCTGCTGACGACCGAGGTATAATTTTGGGCTAATAATGACCATTGCATATACCTATAGGGAAAATATTTGCGTGACCCTACTTGTGACGTAACGCACATGCATATATCCACAATAATCCAAGATGGCGGGCAGCTCAAATATGATTCATGAAAATTGTGTTAAAATATTTCGAGCAACAAGCAACATTTGAAGAAGCTGTACAATTAAAAGTTCCTTCAAATCGAATCTTATTTATGGGGCCATAGTTGGACATTTGGAGCCATGGTTCTATATGAGATTAACCAGATAGCGCGCAATATTTCAATAGAAAGTCATGGAA